CCCCCCCCCCCCCCCAAATATATATTTTGTTGTCATGTTACGAAACCGAATGGAATAGAATGCTACAGATACCACGTGTATAACGTTGTATGAAGTTCGTTACGGCAATGTTTACCAATATGGGAATGACTTTCCGTTGGTAGAACGGTGAGATTTGAAGGGCTGTTAACTGAGTTATTCGGCGGTAACTCCTTACACGCGCACTGAACGAGGAACTGTAAACGCTTCAATACACAAACTGAATGGTCAAATGCTGAGTCCTCTATCGACATTTTGTGACGTTATGTAAACTTTGTTAAAGCCAATGAGCACCAACATCATATCAATTGAAACCCGTCTACTCATTTCGGCGATAAAACATGAAGAGAGACCAACATCCCCATTGTGCGTTAATTTAATGGACTTTATTGCAAGTAAAACAAAAATCAAGGATAATGTACTGCAAACTTGTAACTGAGAGTAGTTTGTAAAGTTGCCACGTGCGGTGATGGCATTCCCATGTCGGCGCGAAGCATTCATCTGTTTATTCGGGATCACTGAACGTCGGGTACAGAGCCCAAAGCGCACGCCACAGGGCCAGCGGGTGATGCACGGCGTCCATCCCAGGCCCAGGGCCCGCAGACGACACCGTCGCGTGGAGCTGACCACGCGCACACACACACGGACGTAGTTTCAGTTGTCCGAAAAAAAAAACCACTACGTAAAACGACTGTGGGGTGGACGGCTGGGGTATAAATCCTGGCAGGAGAAGTTTTTATTTTTGTATTCGCTTTCACTGTGTCCAGAGTGGCTCTGTGACGTGTCCTATCCAGTAGTTATCGGACAGCTATTTCCCACGGGACACTGACTACTCATTAACATCCAGCACACTGATTAAGAACGGGAGAAGTTTACCCTCACTTCATCCTATATTCTTTCACAACGGTATTCTGTCCCACTGACAACATTAGGCTTAAATTCTATTTACCACACCGACACCTCCATCGCAAGAACAGCACATCAAAGAATAAAAACGAACATACTTCCGAAGACGACAATTTTCTTGAACTCTGTTGCAGCATAAAAATGGCTGTCTTCTGAGATGTTGCACCTTATAGGTGGCAGATACTAAACGACGTTTCAGGAGCTCTTACTATCTCCATCACCGTGATTACGGAATCAGTAATGTCTTATAAAACGTTCGTCGAGATTTATCAGACTAAACCACGCAACATCCCAACAGACCCCCACCTTCTGGATGACAATTTGCTAAAAAGGCAAACAGACGTACAAATTCCATTTACTATTTACTTTTTATTTTTATTGATTAATAACTTAAAACTATTTTCAATTTAGACATTATACAGAGTAATATAACATTATAAAAATGTATGCAGGTCACACAAAACACATCGAAGCATCGGGGGGTTTATATCGCCTGTCCTAGTCTATCTACAGACAGATGCAATCAGCTGCCATCTTTACCACAGTAGAATTATATGGTTCTGGTGTCTGACCAGACTGGTCGTTACGACTGTGTGGTCAGACTATGGTTTGATGCAACAACCGCACACGATACAAGGTGATGTCCAGACTACCTGCTACTACTACTACTACTACTACTACTACTACTACTACTACTACTACTACTACTACTACTACTACTACTACTACTAATAATAATAATAATAATAATAATAATAATAATAACAACAATAATAGGCATACTTTCCCCTGCGCTCTGCACCAGTAAAAGCGTACGAAATCCTGCAACATAAGCCTTGATGAACTGAGGAGCTATGGATGAGATCGAGGTAACTGGTTAGCTTAAAGTTTCGGATGCTTTACCCAGTCAGAAGAGGCCCTCTGTACCACTTTATAACAGACTGGGTAGCCGTCCAGAGCTGATACAAACGTGGTGGGGCGACACGAAAACTCC